CCTCTGCCTTCCACTAGGTATATCAAGGAATCAGGATTGGTCCTCTTCACATTTCTGGCAGTGAAGGAGAAATCCCAGGCGTGTCTTCTGGGGCAGAATCCCAGGCCCACAGAATCCTGCTACCCCAGTGACAGGGGATAGCTGGTGGACAAAGGACCCCATTGTCCCAGCAGTGCTGTCTTGGAGCTGACAGTCACACAGACACACAGGCAGCCCTGAGCAAGGTCCCTGCCCCCTTGTAGGAACCACATCATTTACCAAAAGTGAATTTGTTCTCTTGTTCCCCAGCTACAAGGTCTTGGTCACAACCTGCAGGCTTCACCAGGGACTGAGCATGAATTTGGGGAGTCTGAGACTAGTCAGCACCACCCACCCTCCAGACTTCCAGCTCTGCCTTCAGAGAGCCTTTAGTCTCACTTCCTCCCTGCAAGGCAGTCCACATCACTTTCTGTATCAGGCTCACAGTCCAGGTTGACAAAAATATAAATCTATGGTCCTGACCATTCCGGTTTGGCTCGGCGGTTAGAGTGCTGGCTCTGTTCTGGCACTCAGAAGACACTACATTCCAGTGGGGTCTGGTTGGTGGCACAATGCTGGAAGGTGGACAGGCACGCACAGGTAACTGACAGTGGAAGCCATGTCTAAGTAGAGGTAGGTGTTTCTCCCCTTCACCTGCCAAGACAGAGCTAGATGTGGTGCAGTGGAGGGCTTCTGTCTTGCACACTCACCTGTGCTTCGAACCTGTGAAGCTCACAGCCAGGGCTCTGGCGGAAGAGCCACCTGTTTTTCTAAATCTTCACCAGATCTCAAAACACAGAACAAGGGCCACTGGGCCATTCAGAGATAGCCCCTCATTTCCTTCAGATGGATTGTCAGGGACACAGCTTAGGTTCACCCCCCACACCCACCTCAGCTGACCTTTATATAGAACAAAATTACCATGGGCATCCAGCACCTTATAAACTGTTCAGTTTAGAAGTCAATAGTCCAATTTTTCCTGCAGCTCTCAGGTACGGGAATGCACATCAGCTGTGATTTATAAAGACCTGCACCTGGTCCTGACTGGTCTGTTCAGTCGGCTGAGCATCATCCCTTGTACTGAAAGGTCACTGGTTTGATGCACCCAGGTTTTGGGTTCGGCTCCCAGTCAGGTTGCATGCTGGAGACAGCTATCTATTTCTCTCAGAACCAGACAAGAAAACATGTTACATACACAGCTGTCTCCAGGAGTGCTTCTCTCACAGTAGGCCCTGCTGTGACCAGGAACAAGAATGGGGCCTTATCTGAGCATCTCACTTGCAGAGAAACCAAAAAACTTGGGCACCATGCTGCCATCAGGCATACAGGCAAAGCAGTGCTTACCCACAAGAGGACAACTTGGCAGGGCTCCAGCCTCCCTCTGGGGTGAGCAGTAAGATACTCTGGCTGCCACCTCACAGCTAAGCAGGTACAGTAGCTTGAAGGGAAAAGTTAGAGGATGACCTGCACCACAGAACTCAAGTCTGCTGCTGCTACTCGGCACAGCAGTAGTGCAGACAAGCCCAGGAAGAATCTGGTTGTGAATTAAACAGTAAGGCTGAGATCCCAAGCCCCAAGGTGCTAAAATAATTAGAAACTACTCCAGTTTAAACAAAAAAGGCAGCTCGACTTAAAAAATTAGGATTTGTAATCTTGCCACAGAAAGCTGTTAAATGATTCAATCAACTAGTCAAACAGTAGTCCTACAATATAGGAAGTAGGACGCAACCTAGTCTCTGGGCTATCTTATAAGAACACCCTCATCCCCTGCCCAGCCCCCAGGATCCCCCCTAGAAAAACAGGTCCTGCCCCCATTCCTTATACAGACAGATCTCATAAGGGAGACTGCAAATTTATCACAAGTTGCCAACAGCACTTTATTTTTTCTTTTCAACATCCTGTTCTGCAGCTTCCTTGGCTCTTTTTGCCCGGATGCCGAAGAGCCGGGCATTGGCACGGGCCATGCGAAGACTGGCAAACGCCTTGAAGTTCTTCTCCTCCTCTGTGATAACCCGGGCTTTCTCCTTCTTGTAGACCTGGAAGGAACACAGGGAGTCAAACCCAAACCCTCGCCTGCAGTGAGGCCTGTGACATGGCCCAGAACCCAAATGTCAGCAGAACCTAGAAAGCCTTGGAGAGAGATTAAAATAATGTTGAAAGGCTACACAGGCCACCAAGGAAGCGATATCCTCTGGATTTAGAAAAAGACCAAACTTAGAGTAGAGGCAGCAGCAACCTTCTTAGACATAAGGGATGGGAGGGTGCCATGCTTGGACACATAGCAGGACATGAACAAAGGAGGGTTTGGGCCCACCTCTTCTCTCTTTGAGTAACCTCAAGGGACCAGTCATTTGATGGGCAGTTTACAAAATCACCAAATATGCCCCGAGCTTTCCAAATAGCAAGAAGGGAAAAAGAACCCAAGAGGGAGGATGAAAAGTGTGGGTCCTCAAAGTTTCCTTAAAGGAGAAGACAGCCCAGCCAGTGTGGCTCAGTGGCTGAGCAATGATCCATGGACCAAGAGGTTGCTGGTTCAATTCCTGGTCAGGGCAGATGCCCAGGTTTTGGGCTCGTTCCCCAGTAGAGGGCATACAGGAGGCAACCAACTGATGTTTCTCTCTCCACCTCTAAAAGAAAAAACAATAAAAACACTTAAAAAAAAAAGAAAAGAAAAAAAGAATGCAGGATGCTCATGCCACCTTTTACTCCCTCCTTTAAGCCAATCCCTACCCCAAGAAACATTCACTTGGGCATCTTCCCAACACCTCCACTTACATTCCGTATGGGCATGACTGGTCCTGTCAACTGGGTGGCCAACTTGAGTTCTTCAGCCTGTATATTAATGAAAAAGAAGAGTCAAGTGGGCTCAGTTCAATTCCCCAAGGGCTTCAAACTTACATAACCCTCTAAGCCAACCCCACACCTTTCCCTGGGTGACCGTATGCAAAGTAATGGCATGTCACCGAATTCCTGTTATATCCAGTTGACAGAGACATAGGCATATGCAAAAGGGCACCTATGTCTGTACCAGATGCAGGTAGAACAAAATGCCAACTGGAACCTAAAGCTACACGCCAACCCAACTCCAATAAAGCCTATATGAATAGACACTGTCAACTTTGTTCTAAAAGGTTTTTCTAAAGTCCTGACCAAATAGCGCAGTTGGTAGAGTGTTCTACCAAAACACCAAGGTTGGGGGTTTGATCCTCAGTCAGGGCACATGCAAGAATCAACGAATAATGAATGAACAAATACGTGAAACAACAGACTGATGTTTCTCTCTAAAAAATCATTGTTAAAAATTGAGAAAATAAATAAAACGCCTTTCTAGAAACATTTGTTTTGTATATAAAGCATTTTAAAGAGCAAAACACTTCGAATGTAAAAACACTGCAACCCCCACAAAACAGCTTTTGCTATTATCACAAAACAAAAAAAAGACGTTTGAAGAGCACAAGAGTGAATCTTGTCAGTTCTGACGAATTTGGGATCTTTCTTCTCATTAACATTCTCTACTACCTAGACATGAAGGCCAAGTTTGGGGAGGTCAAAAGAGGGACAGTTAAACGTTTTCCTCTACACCCTAGCTGGATCCAGGGACAAATGCCACTTATACCCGAACCAAGTCTCCCTACCCTGCCGGTCTGCAGAGACCTCCACAACCGTTTCCGCCACCCCCCCCACCCCCACCCCCCCCAAAGCTGAGAGCGCTGTACTCACAGAACTGTCTCCCTTCTTAGGGACTGAAGGCTTCCTGGGGAAGAGTATGAGTTTGGAGCGGTACTCCTTCAGCCGCTGCACGTTGGCCTGCAGGGACTCGGTGGACTTGTTCCGCCTTCTTGGATCCACGGAGATGCCAATGGTCCTGGCCACCTTTTTGTGGATGCCGGCCACCTGCCCGCGGAGACACAGACAAATGAAATCCCAAGGAGCCTCCACTCTCCATACCCTAATGAAAGTGCTCAGTCGTCAGATGGAAAAGGGTTCAAGTGTACTTTCATCAAGGCAAGTACAGCGATTCCGGAGAATGTCATCATTTGACTGTGAGCCCAGGATGCAAAACTTAAGCGTCTCTGGTCTAATGAGGTTTTGAGGACACTTACCCTTAACTCCTCCAAGCTGAATCCCCTGCCGGCTCGTACTTTGGTGTGGTACCTCACTGTGGGGCACCTCACTATGGGTCGGATGGGTCCGGACGCAGGGCGCGGGGCGACGCGGCGGGCTTTAGCTTGTCGGGCCTTGCGTCTGAGCAAACAGAATCCAGGCGGCGGTTAGCGCACCCCAAGGCCGATCTCCCCATTCGGGTGTGTCGTACTACAGCGAGGTCGCGGAAGAGCGCAGACAACGCGCACACCTGCGACACCCAAGCCCAAAGTCTCCACCCGCTCGCCCCCAACCACCATTACAGTGTCGGCTCTAACTTGGAGCTACAAGAGCCAAACGGTTATCACATGGTTAAAAGTTCAAGTGCACTTGCACCCAGGTTACAGTGATACTAGACACTGTCTTCACCTGGCTGTGCGCTCCACGCACCCCGCTCACCTGCGGATCTTTCGCGCCGGCTGGTTAAACCACGTAGCAACGCGCCGCTGCCAGTCCTTGTGGAAGTGGGGCTTTAGGATCATGCCATTTCGGCTGGGCGCCATAGCTGCTGCCCACGGGCCTAGGAAGAAAAGCGAGTCAGGACTCGAGCTCTGGACGGAAGGCGCGCCCACAGAGCCCGGCCTCGGCCCATCTGTGGCATGCCCCTACGCCGATGGCGAAGGATGGAGCCCGATGGCACCAGATGACTTCCATCAGCAGCCGCCTTATGCGTACCCACCTTCTCCGTAGGAGAATGGCCACCGGAAAGAAAGTGGCGCCGCAAAGCACCCCGGGATGGCAGTGATCCCGGCCAATCAAAAGCGATGGGGCGTTCTAGCCAATCAGAGCCAGGAATCACGGAAGTGATGTAAGTGCACTCCCAGCCGCCTTTGCGGCCCCAGACGGGCTGGGCGCGCGTAACAAAGGCTGGGGAAGAAGAGCTGCTGCTTCCTAGGTTCTGTCAACTCCCGGCAGCGCCAGGCCCTTCCAGCTTCCACACGTAGGGACTCGGTACGTTTCCCCACCACCTAAATCCTCGTCTCCCGTGTCCCAGTCTTTGTTCCCTCAGCCACTTGGTACATTTGTGCTTCTTCCTTTAGACAAAACTACCACTGAGCGGTTGCTGTAAGCGGGGCCGCCATGCAATTTCACTCGGAACGTTACCACCGCCTCTGCGCTGCGGAGGGTCTGGCAACTTCTCTGAGGTAGGGCAGCCGGTAGGAAGTGGTGGCACCAAGAATCCTCGTGGCCGACTGCAGATGTCACACTTGCCGCTGTGTGTACTGCCTCCTTCCCGGAGACGAACATCATAAAAACATTAGGTAGCCAGGCATGCGTCTGTAACCTGTGCCCTGCGAGGCTCCCGTTCTCCAGGACAAGCCTGGAAACTCACCAGCACCCTACTGCTGTCTGTAAGCCTTTACATCCCAGTAACCCTCTCTTTCCCACCCTCACGCCAATCACCAGTCTTCCTCCTAGCAAAACCTTACATTTTAGGAGTTTCATGACACAAAATGAGAAATTTGGAAGCCTGTGCCTTGCACTGAGTAAACAGATTACTATAAGTTTTCTTCCGTATTAGGACATCCCTGGATGTTAGAATAATCACGTTGGGACTCACTGAGGCATTAACAAGGTTATGATCAGGAAGACAGAACATGTGTAACAGATGAGGCTCACACAGTCTTATCAGACAAGTACACTGAGCCTACATGGAAAGGTCAGACCCTGACTGCCATTTAATAGATAACGTGTTCAATTATGAAACAAGGGCAATAGCAGGCATGCTTTTCTTTTGTCTTCTTTGGAAAAGAATACTGATTTTTTTATCCTCGCCTGAGGATATTTTTCCATTTATCTTCAAGAGTGGGAGGGAGGGAGGGAAACATCAATGTGAGAGGGACACATGGACTGGTTGCCTCCCGCAGGACCCCAGCCAGGACTGGGGACGAACTGCGTCCAAGGTACGTGCCCTTGACTAGAATCGAACCCGCGACTCATTGGTCCGTGGGCCAAAGTTCTAACCACTGAGCAAGACTGGCCAGGGCAAGAATATTGATTTTTTGAGAGAGAGGAAGTAAGAAGAGAGAAACACTGATGTGAGAGCGCAACATGGCACCCCCCCTTCCCCCGGGACCAAGCCTGCGACCCAGGCATGTGCGCTGACCAGGAATCAAACCAACAATCCTTCAGTGCATGGGACAACACCCAACCAACTCAACCACATGGGCCAGAGTGTCATGCTTTTCTTAAAATTTCTTAGACCCCTTTCAGTGATCTCACCATGGACCATGATACCTTGCTTTGTAATCTCAAACATTCCTGTCCCCATTCCCAGTTTCTCTTCTGGATGGACACAGAGACTCATACAATTCCATCTCCCCTAACCCTCACCTCCACCTGAGCTCCAGCTGCTCCTGGTTAAGTTGTGCTGGGCTGTGGTCAGTTTGACTCAGTGGTTAGAGTGTCGGGGCGGGGCGCAGACCAAAGAAAGAATCTTGGGTTCGATTCTAATGAAGGGCACACACCTCGGTTGCAGTTTGGTCCCGGGCCCTGGTCGGGGTTGTGCAGGAGGCAACCAATTGATGTGTTTCTTTTCACATTGATGTTTCTTTCTCTTTCTCTCTCCCCCTCTCTCCCTCCCACTCTGTCTGAAAACAAATGGGAAAATATCCTCAGGTGAGAATTTAAAAGAAAAAGAAGTTGTGCTGGGTCACTGGGTGGGGGTGACTCCTAATTTCAGTTGGAAACAATTCAGAGTATAGTTAATGGTATAATAAGGTGAAGTTATTTTTTGAGTACTTTACTCTGCTGCACATAAGCATGTTAGATAGAAATCCAATTTTTTTAAAGAAATTAAATCCAATTTTTTATGCTTGACTACTCCACACTTCCTTTGAAAAGCATGCAAAGTATCAAACAAAAAATAGTCTTGGTAGGAAAACATGCTCAGCTTTACCATTGGGAAAGGTTAAAGAAGTGAACTGTCATGCAGGAGTCCTTCTGATAGAAAGATCTGGCTGGCTCAAGGGTTTTAAAAATCTTTAGCTTGGCCCTGGCCGGTTTGGCTCAGCGGTTAGAGCGTCGGACTGTGGTCCAGAGAGACCCGGGTTCGGTTCCCACTAAGGGCACGTACTTCGGTTGCAGTATGTCCCCGGCCCTGGTTGGTCGTGCGGGTGGCAGCCACTTGATGTGTCCCTTCACGTCGATGTTTCTCTCTCTCTCTCCCTTCCTCTTTCTCCCTCCCACTCTATCTGTACAAAATATGGAAAAATATCCTTAGGTGAGGATAAAAAAAAAAAAAAAAAAATCTTTAGCTTGGCAAACCACAGCCTGTGGACAAAAAAGGGCTTTTGTTCAGGATTTAGGCCTGAAAGAGCTAACGTCCCTGGAAGCAGCATTCAACTAAGGGGGCCAAGGGTTCCTGGATATGTAACCTTGGGGATGTGGGAGTATACTCTGCACATCCAGAATTTTAAGACCGAGCCCTGATTACTCATAGAGTGCCTGCTTATTGTACACCTGCACCTGACTGGCCTCCTCCACCTGGTGCTTTGAGGGTCAGTCTTGAAATCTAACCTAAGACAGTCAACAAAGCTTCTGGAACCCTTTTATACACACAGCCTGGATTTCTAACATTGTGATAGTCCAGCTGGTGTGGCTCAGTGGTTGAGCGTCGACCCATGCACCAAGAAGTTGCCAGTGCCCACCCAGGTTGTGGGCCCAATCCCCAATTTGGGGCATGCAGGAGGCAGCCAATCGATGTTCTATCTCATTGATGTTTCTCTCTCCCTCTCTCTTCCTCTCTCAAAAAAAAAATTTTTTTTAAGAAAAATAAAAAAATCATAGCAGTGCCCTGGCTGGTTTGGCTCAGCGGTTAGAGCATCAGCCCGCAGTCCAGAGAGACCCAGGTTCGGTTCCTGCTAAGGGCACATACCTCAGTTGCAGTTTGTCCCCGGCCCTGGTTGTGGGTTGTGCGGGAGGCAGCCACTCGATGTGTCCCTTTCACATCTATGTGTTTCTCTCTTCCTCTCTCTCCCTCCTACTCTATCTGAACAAAAATGGAAAAATGTCCTTGGGTGAGGATAAAAAAGAAAAATCATCATAGCACTAAAGTGATTTCATAGGTTATTTTGAGGGGGATGCATTTTGCAAAACTTACCATGTCGTAAATTTGGGCTCATGGTTAAACTAGGCAAAGCAGTAGACTAATAAGAACAGGATGATACACTGCTTCAGCACCATCCAGTCTATCAGCTTTCCAAAATCATGGCCTACACGTAAATCAAATACAGACTAGCTCAAAGTTTCCTGTAATAATGAGAAACACTAATGTCAGTGAAAGACAACTAGAAGTACATTGTCATAATTATAAATAATTTTGTTTGAAAGTTGCTAAGTTTTAATGTTAAAAGTTCTCATCACAAGAAAAAAGATTCTGTAACTGTGACATGGAATGTTAACTAGACTTGCTGTGCCAGCCATTTCGCAATATATACAGATATCGAATCAGTTGTACACCTCAAAGTAGCATATGTCAATTATACTTCAATAAAAAGTAAAATACATTTTAAAAGCAAAACAATCACATTTATGAGTATAGATCAGAGTGAAGAACAATTTGTATTGATTTCAGAAGTACAAGTTAATTTTTTTCTTATTTAATGATCTTCTGAGGCGCTCTCTGATTGTGTTTGTACTGGAAGAGCTCCAGCCCAGGAAGCATCATGCTGTTCTTTGATAGTCTGGAAAAACCACAAGGGGGACCAGAAAGGAAGGACATAGCCTTTATTACTTACACAATGGGGAAGACCCAGTAGCAGCCAGTTGGGTGAGTTTCCACACTAGGCCAGGGTTAGGCAGAGGCTTATCTATCAGTGGGAGGGGGAGGGTCCCGTGCTTAGAACAGCTTTCATGCAGGCTAAAGACAAAAACTTGTTGGCTAGCAGAGACGTGGGAAAACTCCCAGTTATCTATTCCTGGTGGCTGCTGTCCAAGCAGACACCATTCAACTGACTGGGAGGGAGGATTATAATATATCCTTGTGTGACCCCACAGTGTTAAATATACATGTTTATTTAAGGAACATGTGTTTATCTCAATGAGGAGGTCTCACAGGCCTAACTTAGACAAAGAGGGTTCCAGAAGCTATAATCAGCCATGATATACTGGCTCTGCTGTGCAGAGAACAGAGGGTCAGTTTCCACTCAGCAAGCACACAGGTTGCCAAGTTTGGTCTGGCTGCTCTAGAGATCATGTACTATCGAAGCCTCTTCACCTCTAGGATCCTCTTTAAAGGAGGTGTGAGCATCATCTATGCAGGAGATAGCAGAGGAAGTATAATTCCTGGTACTCTTCTCAAATGCCACGTATCTTGTGACAGGAAGGTGACATAATTTGACCAGAGTCTGCAAACAACTCATATCAGAGCACAAAGCAACCCCCCCCCCCCCCACCGCCGGCTGAGGGGCCATGAACCCACTAGCGCCAACAAGTGCTGGGAAGACAGCTGTACCTTTCCCCACTATAGCAAGGCAACCCTTTCACACTATTTACATCCTGTTCCTGGCTAAGCATCTTCTGGCACTCAGCAAATGATTTTCTAAAAAACATACATGGGCCTTTTTTTTTCTTTATTGATTTTGAGAGAGAGAACATCGATTGGCTGCCTCCTGCATGCCCCTCCCCCCCGCCACTGGGGATCGGGCCCACAACCTGGGTATGTTCCCTGACTGGGAATCAAACTGGGGACCTCTTGGTGCATGGGTTGACGCTCAACCACTAAGCCACACCAGCCAGGCAGACATGGGCCATTTTATTGGATAAAATACAAGGGATGAGTTTGGCCATGTCCACCATTACTAGGTTACAAAAGATACTGCCCTCAGAGAAAGACACCAGCCTAAATATATGCAGATCTTTGGAAATGAATTTGGGGAACTGGGACAAAGGCAAAAGTGTTCTCAAAAAGCCAGTGCTCTCTCAGCTACCAACCTTCAGGTGTTTAACCACACCTACATCTGCCTACCTACAGCTCAGCAGGCATTTCCTTGGCACTGAATGTGGGAGCAGCGACAGAACGACCATTCTTGTCAGGAAGTACCCATAAAGTGATGAGAGCAGCAGGTAGGAGCACCTGAGTGTGTGTTGCATATCCCCAGGAAGACGGGAACTGAGTGTACTTGTTTATCTTACAGTGATGGGGTGTTCTTGACCCTTTATCCCAGAGCCCTACAAACGGGGCTTTTTTTTTTTTTTTTGGTAGCTTTTTTTTATTATTACTTTTTTTTATCCTCACCTGAGGACAATTTTTGATATTTTGTTCAGATAGAGTGGGAGGGGGAGAGAGAGAGAGAAACATCACCGTGAAAGGGACACATTGAGTGGTTGCCACCCACACGACCCAACCAGGGCTGGGGACAAACTGCAACCGAGCTATGTGCCCCTAGTGGGAACTGAACCCAGGTCTCTCCAAACCACAGGCCGACGTTCTAACCACTGAACCAAACCGGCCAGGGCAAAAGGGGCTTTTCAGTTGCTAAAATAACTTGCGAACATTCAGAACAAACCCAACAGCCCCTCTGGGTTAGAGCTGGCCAAGTGGTACAAAGTTGGATTCTCCATCATAAAGTATCAACAGTCCTCAGGTATCCCCCACATGGTGCCACCAGACTAGTGAGGAGAGGTTCTTGCACACACCAGTCCGCATGGCAGTAGGTGGCAGTGTTTTAATCCTTTAGAGCCCAGTGCCTGTCCGTATTCTGTAACCCCACTGACGAGTGTGGACGAGGACATTGGCTCAGAGTGTGCTTTCATTGTGGGTCTCATTTAGCATGCTGACAAAGTCACAAAAGCTGGAAAGAGCCCCTGCACAAGCCCTGGCATGAGCCTGACTGCTGGGCTGCCCCTAGATCTACCCCACACCCACGAAACGACCGTGTCAAACCTGGGAACTCCTCCAGGTGCACCTGTGACAAGTATAGACAACCCTCCCCATGGGGGAAACCGATCTACAAAAGCAAAACTAAATTCACCTCTGTAAAGTCTTTACTAATTACAGATAGAGAAATCAACAGATCTCAGAAGCCCTTAAGCAGGCACCAGTGAGGGCTGTGAGATACAAATCTCGGGTGAAAAGGAACTTGGGGGCCAGCTAAGTAAAGAGTTCACTTCCTGGGTCCCCACAGGCATCATTAATGAGGTCCAGCTATTTGGGCCAAGAGGGCTCCTCTCGAAGTGGGGGCTGCTGAGGCACCTCCTCCTCCCCAGCATCTTGCTTCTCCCTCTCAGCGTCAATCCACCTCAGAGGCGCAATCATCTTCTTGGGCCCATGAGGCGGTGGGCCGATGAGGGCCTCGATGTCCTCGTAATTTATCACTTCCTTTTCCAGCAGGGCATTCGCCAGCTAGGAGGAACAAAGGCCAATGTGAGAAACTTGGAGGACAAGGACACAGACAGCCTTTTGAGAGCAGAGCACTGAGAAAAGGGGCCCCTCAGCCTCGTAGGAAGGGGTGTCTGGGAGCACGATGCCCCTAGACAGGCCATTTTCCCAGGGCAGCGGCACACACAGGGCAGCTTAAGCAAAGAATCACTCCCTGTCTCAACCTTGGAGATGGTTTCCCAGCTGCAGCCTCATTAATTTCCTGCTTCCTTTCCAAATCTCTGCTTATTTGGGGCAGCTTTGATTTTCCTTTACCAAACAAGGTGTGGGTATCTGTATGGGGTCGAGGGGCTAAAATGCAGAACATCCTTGCTGGAACTTGAGGAGAGGAATGCTGGTGTGGAGGTGTGAGCGGGGGGAGAGGGGGCTCTGCCTCTCTATATGGTCATGGAAAACGCTGAATGAATCCTGTGAATGTCCTGTGCCAGCAATCTCTGCTGCTCACTCCCCATAAGGGATGCTGCCACAGCCAGTTAGACTGGTTTCTGTCACCCCCCAAACTGGGTGACCAGTTCTTCTGTGTGGCTGCTTTAGTATATTGCTAAGCACTGTACCCCACTGATGATATGAATAGATCACAGTGAAAACTGAAGCAGGACATCCTCAACCCACCACAGGGACCCTGAGTCCTGCCCAGCAGCAGCAGCAATGCACACATGACACAAAGGACCTTGTTAATGGCAGTTTATGGCTCAGCAGGTCGGGCAGGCCTGATATTCCACACTGCCCACAACTCCAGGGAAGGCTACTGCTGTTAGTAAGTGGCAACACTTGGAAGATCCACCACATACAACTCCCAAACTGGCAGAGCCTCACATTAATGAAACAGCCTGTCCACCAAGAGCTAATCACCTGTACTAAGGACACAGTAACTTCACCTATGGAGTCAAGAGGTGATCCCAGCCCTGGCCAGTTTGGCTCAGCAGTTACAGCATTGGTCCACGGACCCGTGTCACAGGTTTGATTCCAGTCAAGGGCAGGTACCTGAGTTACAGGCTAGATCCCTGGCCCTGGTCAAGGTGGGATGTGTGCGGTAGGCAACCAATGTGTCTCTCTCCCTCCCTCCCTCCCTTCCACTCTAAAATAAGTGGGAAAGAAAATACCTGCGGGTAAGGATTAACAAAAAAAACAAAACAGATGACCCTAAGCCCAACACCTATTAGTCTTATTGTGAGAACATCAAACCCAGACCCATCCTCCTAACACTGCCACAGCAGGCCTTCAACAACAGAAAAGTGAGGACGTCCCAGGCAAGAGGAGCCTAAGAAGGCATGATGACTAAATGTAAATGTGGTAGTGGTGGGGATGGGTGACAGGAAAAGGACATTAGGGAAAAGCTAAGGCAGTCTAGCTACTTCATCAATATTGGTTCACTAGGTTGTGAAAAATGCAACTTTTTAATCCTCACCTGAGGATATTTTTCCATTTATCTTCAGGGAGAGAGGGAGGGAGTAAGAGAGGGAGAGACATCAATGGGTTGCCTCCCACACCACCCCAACCTGGGCCAGGGACAAACCGCAACCGAGGTATGTGCCCTTGGCCGGAATCGAACCCAGAACTCTCGTTCGCAGGCCGACACTAACTGCTGAGCCAAACTGGCCAGGGCGAAAAATGCAACATATTACTGGAAGATAGACAATAGATAAAACAGTGTACGGTACGAGGGAATTCTCTCTACTGTATTTGTCACTTGCCGGAAAAGTTTGAGTTGGAAAAAGATTAAACAAAATTGATGAAACAATAATTGCTGATGGTGGGTAAAAGATACATGAGAGGTTATTACTTCTATTTTGAAGAACTGGCTTGACATATTCATAAGAAAATGCTAAAAAGAATGGAAAATATTAGATTTCAGTTGAGCTGGGTGGAACACATACTTTGTATGTTGTTTTCTAAAGTTCTGTGTTCATTTGAGCCCTGGCCAGGTAGCTCACTTGGTTAGAGTGTCATCCCAATACGCCAAGGTTGAATACATAAGTAAGTGGAACAACAATCGATGTTTCTCTCTCCCCACCAGCTGGCTCGCTCTAAAAAAAAAATCAATAGATTAAAAATTTTTTAAGTTAAAAAATAATACTGACCAAGTACTGTGTTCATTTGAAATACACCATGAAGCCCTGCCGGGTTTGGCTCAGCAGTTACAGCATTGGCTCGCACGAACCAGAGTCACAGGTTTGATTCTGGTCAGGGGCACATACCTTAGTTGTGGTTTGTCCCTGGCCCTGGTTGGGATTATGTGGGAGGCAACCAATTGATGTGTCCTTCTCATGTTGATGTTTCTCTCTCTTTCTCTCACTCTCCCTCCCTCCCACTCTATCTGAAGATGAATGGAGAATTAAAAAAATATATCTACATCTATATCTATCATCCATGAAAAAGGTGACCACTGTGCCAGCATTGGGTAGTAACAGTCAGTACCCCCACACACAACTTCCGGAGAGACTGGCAGATGCCTGGAGGTCAGAAAGCACCCACCGCCTGCAGCTTGTCCAGATTGTCCTGCAGCACCTTCTCAGTGTGCCTATAGGCCTTAGCCACCAACAGCCGAGCTTCCTGTGAATGAGAGAGATTTGTAATGAGAACAGCTGACCCCTATTCTCAGCATCATCTATAGACTGGTTCTGACACCAAAATATACCAAAGAACTGCAGGTTCAGAAACACAATCGTTTGTGTCTCCCAATGACCAGGAGAGCTCAGATGCCAACATTTTCTAGCCCCTGTCTCACCCCCAGGAATGCCCTACTTCAGGATGCCTTCCCAGAGCACCTATCACCCGTAGGCGCCCCACTGGCACCTGGAGGCTAAGGATCCTGTGTTGCCTCCATGCCTACAGCTGCCTCACATGTTTGTGCACCAGGACAGGCTGGACACTGTCCTGGTCCAATCTCCTGTGGACAGTGCAGCAAATCCCTGCTGGCCACAAGGATCACTGACACTGGCTCTGTCATTTGATCCATATATTTGATATTCTTTCCAGTTTCCCATCTAGTTTCATGAGGAGCCACACAAGTCCTCATCCAAGAACACACTCAGCAGGACTTCTGGTCAAGATGGTGGCATAGGTAAATGCTGTATCACGTCCTCCCACAACCACATCAAAGTTACAACTAAACTACAGAACAACCATCATTCAAAATCGCCTGAAATCAAGCTGAATGGAAGTCCTACAACTACGAAGTTAAAGAAGCAGCCACACTGAGACTGGTAGGAGGGGTGGAGGGGAAGGGGGAGGGGCTGGTCCCACACCCAGTGTGGCGGATAAAAATCAGGAGGACACCTCGGCTGGGAAGGTCCTCCCTGAGGACTAAGGGGTTCCCGTCCTACATTAGGCACCCCACTCAGAGTTCCAATGCCAGGAAGAGAAGTCCCCATAACTTCTGATTGGAAAAACCAGTGGGAAATGAGGCTCAGGGAGGCTGAGGTGCCTGGAGTCCCAGGCAGCTGCTCTTAAACGGTGCGTGCACAGATTTATCAGACTCATTCCCTCTAAGCTTGGAGGGGAGGCAGCTTGAGGGGCGCCAGAGACATACAGGGAAGAACTGAGCTGTTTGACATTGGAGCTAGGGCTGGAGAGGGGGCTTTCTCCGGGACAAACGTAATGTCAGAGGCCTTTGTTCCTTTGGTGAGCCCTTCCCTGGGGCGGCAGACAGTCGCCATATCTGGGACTCCAGCAACCTGGCTCACACAGTTTACCCTGCCCTGGTGATTCCCTGAGGCCCTGCCCCACCCAGATTTCAGGCCCACCCAAGCTGTTGCCAGTTGTTTAACCATAGGATTGGCCTGTCTTGGATCCTGCTTCAGGTTTTCCTAAATTCTTTCAAACCAGCAGCATCTGGTCTCAGCTAGCCCCATACCTCTCATTAAGTAATACATAAACACAAACACAGGGAGGCAGCCAAAAGGAGGAGACAAAGAAACAGGTCCCAAATGAAAGAACAGAAAAAATCTCCAGGAAAAGAACTAAGCGAAATAGAGATAAGCAACCTAACAGATGCTGAGTTCAAAATACTGTTTATAAGGATGCTCAATGAACTTAGTGAGAACCTCAGCAAACTTAGCCAGGGCCTCGAAAGCATAAAAAAGGACCCGTCAGAAACGAAGGAGGCACTAACTGAAATAAAGAATAATTTACACAGATTCAGTAGTAGAGTAGGTAAAGCCAAGAAGCAAAACATCGATTTGGAATATCAGGAAGCACAAAACACCCAATCAGAATAACAAAAAGAAAAAAGAATCCAAAAAAATAAGGATAATGTAAGGAGCCTCTGGGACAACTTTAGCGTGCCAACATTTGCATCTTTGGGGTGCCAGAAGGAGAAGAGGGAGATCAAGAAATCGAAAACCTATTTGAAACAATAATGGCAGAAAACTTTCCTAACTTGGTGAAGGAAACAGACATACAAGTCCAGGAAGCACAGAGAGTCCCAAACAAGATGAACCCCAAGAGGCCCACACCAAGACACATCATCATCAAAATGCAAAAGGTTCAAGACAAGGAGAGAATCTTAAAAGCAGCAAGAGAAAAGCAGTTAGTTACCTATAAGGGAGTTCCCATAAGGCTGTCAGCTGATTTCTCAAAAGAAACTTTGCAGGCCAGAAGGGAGTGGCAAGAAATATTCAGAGTGATGAAAAGCAAGAACCTACAACCAAGATGACTCTATCCTGCAAAGCTGTCATTTAGAATTGATGGCCATATAAAGAGTTTCCCAGACAAGAAATAGTTAGAGGAGTTCATGAGCACCAAACCATTATTATATTAAATGTTGAAGGGTCTTCTTGAAGAAAAAGATAAACTATATGAACAAACAAAATGGCATTGAATACATATTTATCGACAATGGAATCTACAAACAATGAACAGAAAGAACAGAAACATTCTCATAGATCCAGAGAACATTTTGTTGGTTGTCAGATGGGAGGGGGGTTGGGGGAATGGGTGAAAAAGGTGAAGGAATTAAGAAGTACAAATTGGTTGCTAGACTGACAAACCTCAAAGAGAAGGGGGCTTGGGGGTTGGGAAAAAATAAACCGAAGAACTTATATGCATAACCAACGGACACAGACAACAGTGTGGAAAAAGGCAGGATGGGGGGCGGGAGTGGGGAGGAGGGGGTCAATGGGGGGAAAATGAGGAACATCTGTAATACATTCAACAATAAAGATTTAAAAAATACCTTAATGCAATCTGAAAAAGAAAAAAAAAAACAGAAACAAGAAAAATTTTTTAAAAAGCTAAAAATTTTTTAAAAAGTTCATCACCACCAAACCATTATTATATGAAATGTTGAAGGGTCTTGAAGAAAAAGATAAAAAATATGAACAAAATGCCCTGGCTGGTTTGGTTCAACGGTTAGAGCGTTGGCCTGTGGTCCAGAGAGACCTGGGTTCGGTTCCCGCCAAGGGTATGTACCTTGGTTGCAGTTTGTCCCTGGCCCTGATTGGGTCATGCTGGTGGCAGCCACTCGATGTGTCCCTTTCACATTGATGTTTCTCTCTCTCTCTCTCTCTCTCTCTCTCTCTCTCTTCCTCTCTCTCCCTTCCACTCTTTCTCTCTCTCCCACTCTAGCTGATCAAAAAATGGAAAAATGGCCTTGGGTGAGGATTAAAAAAAGAACAAAATGGCAATGACTACTTATGTGTTGACAACTGAATCTACAAACAAAATGAACAGGCAGAACAGAAACATTCCCATAGATACAGAGAACATTTTGTTGGTTGCCAGATGGGAGGGGGTTTGGGGGAATGGGTGAAAAGGGTGAAGGGATTAAGAAGTACAAATTGGTTGCTAGAATGACAAACCTCAAAGGGAAGGGGGTTGGGGGGGGGAATAAACCAAAGAACTTATATGTACATATGTATAACCAATGGACACAGACAACAGTGTGGGGAAAGGCAGGAGGGGGGCAGGAGTGGGGAGGAGAGGGTCAATGGGGGAAACATGAGGACCATCTGTAATACATTCAACAATAAAGTTTAAAAAAAAAAAAGAGCACACTCAGCAGGTCAGAGCAACAACAGAGGCCAGGAGGAACAGCCATAGTGTGAGGGCTCCTCTGAATACAGATACTTGCCCCCTACCACAACTGTGGTTGGGATGGAGCAGAGGCTGGCTCACATGGCAGCAAAGGCTATGTACTCACATGGTCCATCATCTGCTGGAGGCCCTGGCTAAAGGGGCGCCGTCCAATGCCTGCAGGGCCCTCCTGAGCCTCAGGGAAGGAGATGTGCCCAATGCTCGGTACCATCCCAAACTGCTTCACCATGGAGTAGGCAATACGAGTGACCTTCCTCAGGTCGTCCTGTGCCCCTGGAGCATGGAGTGAAGAAAAGGTTTCTTTGCTGGGGGTGCAGAGTCAGGGCACTCTGGAGACCCCACTGGCACACATCTATATCCTGTTAGTATTCCTTAAAAGAGAGATGTGTGCCATGGCCAGTTTCGCTCAGCAGTTAGAGCGTTGGCCTGCAGACCAATGAGTCATGGGTTCGATTCCAATCAAGGGCAAGTACCCCAGTTGCAGTTCATTCCTGGTCCTGGTCTGGTCATGTGAGAGGCAACCAATCAATGTATCTCTCTCTCCCCCTCCCCTTTCACTCTAATGATAAACAGAAAAATATTCACAGGTGAGGAATAAAGAAAGAGAGAGACGTGAGGCCAGCCAGTGTGACTTAGTGATTAAGCATCAACCCATGCACTGAGAGGTCACTGGTTCGATTCCTGGTCAGAGCACATGCCCAGGTTGTGGGCCCAATCCTCAGTTGGGGGCACGCGGGAGGCCACCAATCGCTGTTCTCTCTCATTGATGTTTCAATCTTTCTTTCTCCCTCTCTAAAATCAATAAAAGAAAAAAAAATTTTTTTAAAGAGAGATGTGAAACTTTTCAAAATGCTCCTTTGTCTAAAAAATGACTCAGGCCCTGGCCAGGTAAGTTCAGTTGGTTAGAGCATTTTCCTAATACGCCAAAGTTGCGGGTTTGATCCTCAGTTGGGGCACGGGGCACATACAAGAATCAACCAATGAATGCACAAATAAGTGGAACAACAAATCAATGCCTCTCCCTCTCTCAAATCAGTAAATAAAATTTAAAATATAAAAAACCACTCAGGATGCATATTTGCATTCACTTCACCAGCAGTTCTCCAGAACAAGTCCAAGTGTGCACAGGGCACATTTGTCAACACTGAACCCCAATGTCAGGGATCAGGGAAAGTCTTCTGCCTGCTCTCTGGCCATCCCAGTGAAATAACAGTTAGAGAACAGTCAAGTTGCTTGAATTACCAATAATTAACCATTTAAATGCATTTATAGACTGTATGTATATAAAAGTTTTTGTAACAACTAAATTATTTTAAAAGTCTTGCTTAGTTTCAAATCTTTGACCATATCTCATCGAGTGGCTGCCACCCGCACGACCAACCAGGGCCGGGGACAAACTGCAACCGAGGCACGCGCCCTTAGCGGGAACCGAACCCAGGTCTCTCTGTACCGCAGGCCGACGCTCTAACCGCTGAACCAAACCGGCCAGGGCATATCTCATCTTTTTTTTTTTTTTTTTTCCTCACCCGAGGACATTTTTCCATTTTTTGTTCAGGTAGAGTGGGAGGGAGAGAGAGGAACAGAGAGAGAGAGAGAAACATCGATGTAAAAGGAACACATCGAGTGGATGCCACCCGCACAACCGACCAGGGCCGGGGACAAACTGCAGCCGAGGTACGTGCCCTTAGCGGGAACCGAACCCGGGTCTCTCAGGACCGCAGGCCGACGCTCTAACCGCTGAGCCAAACCGGCCAGGGCCATATCTCATCTTTTAAAATAACATCTTATGAAGCCCAGCTGGAGTGGCTCAGTGGATTGAGTGTTGTCCCATGGACTGAGAGGTCCCAGTTTGATTCCTGGTCAGGGCACATACCTGGGTTGTGGGCCTAATCCCCAGTAGGGGGTGTGCAGGAGGCTGTCAATCGATGTTTGCCTTTCACATTGATATTTCTCTCTTTCCCTTCCTCTCTCTCTCTCTAAAAAAAAGAAAAAAAGAAAGAAAAAAAAAGAAAAAACATCTAATGAAAGTCAAAGTATATTTGCATCCTACTATTCAAATCCTTTCATCAGATTTACTCCCCTCACCTTGTTGCCCCCCCCACCCCCCGCTCCCTGCCGAGGGGTAATGGATGTAAAAGTACTATGAGAACTCCAGACCCTTCAGAGCCAGCTCCTCACCAGAAGTGACCTTGTTGAAGGAGATGGCCTCTGACACGCGGCCACCCAGGGCCATGCACATCCGCTCAAACAGCTGCTCCTTGGTGAAGAGGTGCTGTTCTCTTGGGAGCATCTGAGCAAAGCCCAGTGCAGCATTTGTCCGAGGCGTGATGGAGACCTGCAGAACATCAGGTGGCCTGAGTGAGCAGGCAGGATGTGGGCTTTAAACATGAAGGTGGGCAATATAAGATCTTTAATCAGAAGATTTCAAAAACATTAAGAAAATCTGCACTGTCCCCATTTTTACAACAAGAATATACTATCCTTAAACAGAAGAGCTCACACTGTGAGTGTATCTTCCTTGTACATTACTAGATATATATGATGCAAAGAACAACCAAGACTGGAGCTCTTAGGTGAACCAACCAGGAAGTGCAGGAACCAACGCCACCAAGAGCCCCCTACCACCGTGATCCCCTGACCAAGAGGTTATGTGGGGGACATGGAAAGTATCTTTGCTTAAGCTTCCCCCAAAGCCCAACACCAGGTGTGCCTAGAGCTCCAGTGGGACAAGGCCTGCTCCTGAGCAACAAGGAGAGACTTGGGATGCAGGTGCCATTTCTGAGGGTTATGGCAGCAAGAAAACCACCTCACAGTGCCCTGAAAATCTGAAGGGAAACTTAAAATCCAACACTAAAGTAAACTACTATTGAAAAGGCTGGAAATGACCCTGGCTGGTGTGGCTCAGTGATTAGAGCACTGGCCCACACACCAAGGGGCTCGGGTTCCATTCCTGGTCAAGGGCACATACTTGGGTTTCAGGTTCAACCCCTGGCCCCATTTGGGGCATGTGTGGGAGGCAACCAATCAATGGGTCTCTCACATTGATGTTTCTCTTTCTCTCTCTCTCCCCGCTCAGCCCGGCCAGTGTGGCTCAGTGGTTAAGCATCGACCCATGCACCAAAAGGTCACAGGTTCAATTCCCAGTCAGGGCACATGCCCAGGTTGTGGGCCAAATCCCTGGTGGAGGGCATGCAGGAGGTGACTAGTCGATGTTCTCTTTCATCAATGTTTCTCTCTCTCCCTCTCCCTTCCTCTCTCTAAAAATCAATAAAGAAAAAAAAATTTTTTAATAAAATAAATAAACACAAAGGCTGGAAATAACAATCACAACCAAACAGCAATGGGAACTTTTCCCCAGCAAAGTATAAGCCTCGCAAGGGAGGTTTTCTCATTATGACTTTCAACCATCAAGTAAAGCAAAAATTCTGAGAAGAGGAATTTTAAATTGTGAGCCCTGGCTGGTTTAGTTCAGCGGTTAGAGCGTCGGCCTGCGGTCCAGAGAGACCGGGGTTCAGTTCCCACTAAGGGCATGTACCTCAGTTGCAGTTTGTCCCCAGCCCTGGTTGGGTCGTGCGGGAGGCAGCCACTCGATGTATCCCTTTCACGTCGATGTTTCTCCCTCTCTCTTCCTCTCTCTCCCTCCCACTCTACCTGAACAAAAAATGAAAAAATGTCCTCAGGTGAGGATTTAAAAAAATTTTTTTTAATTGTGATATTTACTTCATTGTGGATTTTTATGCATTAGTATTTATTTTGTTGAGGCTGCACTAAAATATCTTGATTACTGAATGTTTTAGTGTCCCATAAATGTCACACCCTAGGTGACTGTCCCACTTGCCTGACCCTGAGCCCAGCCCATCACCTACCTCAGAGACTGCTGCATTTACTTATCTCTGTCACAAAACACTAGGCTTAGCCTTCTGATGAGCATAAAAAAGGAATTGGCCTGATAAGCAGGACATAAGCAAACATTACTAGACTAACAATCTACTTTGCTACAACTAACACCGCTGATTATAGGACATTAAACACTAACATACCAGGCTGGCAACTGCCACACTATTGCCATGTTTGGGTCTTAGGGAACTGTAGTGCGGCTCCTTCCCTGCTAGTGGAACCAAACTACCTGCACAGGATCCCAGTGGCTCACTTGCTCTGGTGGAGGGACAATGACAATTTATGTCCTCATCATTACAGACTGGACACCTGCATCCCAAACATTTACATTTTCCTTACTGGTCATTCAAGGATCTCATGGTCATGAACCCATACCTTTTGTGGGAACTGTCTATGATATTACCATCTGATACAAATGCATTTTCATCAAACTCACAAATATCTACAAGAGCAGTGTTTTTTAAAGTGTACTTAACTCACTTTTTAAGATTAGGAATCATTAGATCAACACATTTTAGAGCTGATAGTAAACTTAGCAGTTCTTAATTCCAAGACTGACTGTAGATGGGGAAAAAGACCCTAAATGGTCATGTGGCTTTCCAATGATCATGCCCATAACTGGACCCCACTGGTTTAGATGTAAGACCTCATCCTGCCATACACTTCCCAGGTGAGGGGTCCTGGGGATTCTGCACAGTCCCCTTCTACCTGTCCCCAGGTCCACTTCAGGCTGCACTTTTCTCTTCACCAAGCACAAACACATGGTGCTCCCAAAGTCAGCTCTGTTCAAGGGCCGGTTGGGCTTATACCAAGAGTTTCCCTTCTAATTAGAGTAATAATGAGGAGTAGTTGTGGATGGGGCCAATTTGGGGCAGAAGACCCCAGAGCCTCCATGGCTCCCACCCTCCAACACCCTACCTTCATCACAGCCTCAGTGTGCTCCAGCAGCCAACCCACCAACGCATGGCCTGACTCATGAAACGCAACCACCTTCTGCTCTTCCTTTGAGAGGATCTTGCTCCTTTTGGCCGTCCCTGAAAGAACACCCAGGACTCTGAGTTCAGGTCCACCGATAATCCTCTGTAAGCATGCAGGAACCTTCCTTGCTCAGCCTTGCAAACTTTTTACCATGTTGTTAAAGTAAGATCTTCATGGGACGTTCACCTCCTATGTTTCTGCCCCAAATTGGCCCCATCCACAACTCTACTCACTATTACTCTAACTCGAAGGGAAACTCATTGGGAATGAGAGGTGCTGGAGGAGGCCATGTTTGTTCCCACCTCCACAAATGGTGGAGTAATCTAAACGGCTCCTGCAGGCTTTGTGGATAGGGCTACAGGGCTGACAGGATTAGCCTGGGCACAGTCTAAACTCTAGGTTTCTTGGCTTTTCTCCCAGAACTAGCAGTGGTAACTGCAGCCCCTGTGACCTACAGTTATTTCACCCACAGTAGTTGACTACCTTTTGCCTTGGTGACTTTACCTTACAGTTCACCCATTCAAATTACTGCTAAGGTTTCCTTCACTGTTCCCAATTTTCCAAACATCCTTTAGTTTCCATTTTACGCAACTTGAACAAGCTGTAGGTTCAGGGTATTTACTACATCAAGCTACTAGGATCATCTACCACATTTACCATAAGGTCATAAATTCTTTCTAACATGCACTGGCTGTGGCTGACGAATCCTTTTCAACCAGAGCTGATTATACGAGCCTCTAAACATGAGGTTACAGCCTCACAGGATAGACTTTCCCTGAACACAAACACGTTCCAGCGCAGGCAGTCTACACCAAAGTAAGGAGAGTTCACCTTGTTCTAAGCACTGCATAAATGGGGAGGTGGCGGAGTGCGGGGAACAGTATTCTATTAGTATTTTCTCTGGTCTTTCCCACTTTGATAATATTATTGTAAGTTTATCAATTCCATGTAAAAATAAATGGCTTATACAAAACCAAAATTTATAATAAGGAACAGCAACTACATTTCCTTCCATCCACACAAGTTCACTTCTTTCCCAAGCTGCAGCCTAGAAACTTGGTGCACTTGTCCTAGATTTTAACTCAAAACTGAGGGTGAAGGGAATGTGCTTCTTGTAGGGACAGGTTATGACAGAGGGCTCACTACCCACACACAGGGCCCCTGCTTCTCAAACATTTATAGGAAGGACCAGTTTCCTTTTTTTAAATGTTCAGTGTCTTGGACTACTTTTGTTCTGAACTCTGTTAAAGGACAAGATGCACGCTCATGTCTGGATGTTTCCACATGGAATTATGGAAGCTTCTAGATGCTTTCTCTCAGTTTCAGTCCTGCTCTCTCAGAGGATCCCACTTTGAGCAGCAGTGGTTAAGCACTGACAGGAGCACTGCAGCCCCTCTCTACCTAACCACCTCTCCCATTCCTGTTCCAAGCAGAGCACAGGAGTTTCAACAGAGATGAAGCTGACTGGCGGAGCACAGCCTTCAGCAGACGTCCCCCTCGTCCTCGGGCAGTAGCAGTGCAGACCCCTGACAGCATACACAATGGCCTGTCCCTATGCAGTTGGCTCTCAGGCACCACACGATGGCTAATGAGCTGAGCACTATGCACATTTGGGCTTGTAAGATCCTTTTAAATTTCTATTTGAAGAGTGCTCTTAAGCAAATTTACAGTATTTTAAACTATGGAAAAGTAAGTCACGTTGTCAAGCCCTGACATAAAAAATAGAAATACTTGACATATTTTTCTCTTGTCCAGTAATTGCTTGCTGATAAGGTCCACCATGTGACATCTAAGCCTGACCCGCTCCCTCTACCCCACCTCCGAGTTCACTTTTGGGATCCGTGCCTCATACCTGCGATGACGCGCTCCACAGCATACTCGAAGTTAAACGTGTGAACAGATGAGTGCCCTTCCCGTGCAGCGTGCAGAGCAGCCTCGTTACAGATGTTGGCGATGTCAGCACCTGTCAGCAAAACGGGATGGGAGAGGTGTTGGCTCTGTTCCCTCAGGGACTGAGAGGAGGAAAGGCAAGGAGGATCGCACAAACACATCAAGAGGGGTCCAGGGGAGAAGGAATGGCTCTATGGGACCCAAAGAACCACCTCTTCACATCCACTCCAACCTCTTTCAGTCCCTCTGCCTTCTCTACTGCTTTATTACACACTGTACTCAGCACACTTCGTGTGCCACCTGGTGTTTTATTCTACCTAATAATTCCTCTGTGCACTGATGGAGAAGAAATTAACCTGACCAGGTAGCTCAGGTGGTTGGAGCATTGGCCCGTATACCAAAGGTTGCAGGTTTGATTCCCAGTCAGGACACATACCAAGGATGCGGGTTCAATCCCCGGTCCAGGCACATATGGAAGGCAACTGATGGATATTTCTTTCTCACATCAATGTCTCTCAGTCTCTCTCTAAAAATCAACAGAAACGTATCCTTGGGTGAGGATTAAAAACAAAAATTGCCCGGCCAGTGTTGCTCAGTGGTTGAGCGTCGACCCATACATCAAGAGGTCGCTGCTTCGAATCCTGGTCAGGGCACATGCCCAGGTTGTGGGCCAAATCCCCAGGGTGGGACATGCAGGAGACAGCCAATCAGTGTTCTCTTTCATCGGTGTTTCTGTCTCTCTCTCTCCCTCTCCCTTCCTCTCTCTAAAAATCAATAAAGAAAAAAATTTAAAAAAAAATTAAACTGGAATTAGGTCTATATAATGCACACTTATTTAAAAAATAAAAACAAAAACTAAGCGGGGCCTCCTGCCTTAAAAAAAAAAAAATGAAAGGCTCTCTAGTATCCAGAAGAATCTAGTTAAAGACATTAAAAAACTCTAAAGAAAAATAGCACATTGCCCTTTAAAATGAGAGCCATACAGAAAAAAACAATCTTTTTTTTTTTTAATTTTATGTGTTTATTTGAGCCAAACTGATGACAATTGCTGGGAAGCAAAATCTCAATAGACTGAGAAAATGCTCCACCCAAAATCTTGATCTGAGATGTCTGTGTCTACGAATTAAAACTGAGACTGTGAGGGAGGGCAGTGATATGCCTGGGCTGAGACAAGGCCTAGCCATGGCAGCCCCTGGTGGGAGCAGCGGAATCTCACGATCTGAGCTGAACAGGAACTGAAGAGCTGGTGTGCAGAGCCCTAAAGGCAGAGCTCCACAGTGGAGACACAGGCATGGGCAGTCTGAATGCAAGCAAGAGAAGCACTGTTAGGTTTTCCACCACTTGGGGAGGAAAAGTAAAGTGGTGTGCAATTCTACCTCCTGTGGGCTCTGAGTGCACCACCTCACTCCCAACCAAGCTGTGCTGCCCAGAGGAGGGGATGGAGCGCACCTGGGGGAGGCCTGTGCTCATGCGTGCATGCGGGAAAGACCACCTGCCCTCCACCCTCAGGACCAACAAGAACTGGCTCCCATACCGCTGAACCCCGGAGTGAGTTCCGCCAGACGCTGTGAGTAAAAGCTGCTGGCCTGGGTCAGCTTCAGGCTCTTCAGATGCTGCTCAAAAATCTCCTTCCTTTCCTACCAAAGACGGGAGGAGGGCACAATGTGGGCCACACGTCCACCATGCAGACAGGAACCACTCGAGAGGCACTCGAGAGTTTCCCCATCATTAGTCATGACCATAGTTTGTGAAACCAATCTAGAACTGCAAGTAGCATTGCAAAATGAAAAAAAAAGAAAACAATAGAAAATAAAGTACATCAAAATTATTTTGTGGAACCTTTGATTCATGCACATCTCAATGTTAACATGGAAATGATTCCTACACAGGAAGATGGACAGCTACTTCTCCAGGAGCAGTGTCAGAGGGCAGCTTCCCTCCACTTCGACAGAGTAGCAGTTTGAAAGAACCCAGAATGAGCACTGGGTGTGCCACGAGCCACCGCCCTGTGCCCCCATGTGTGGACCTACAGGAACAGTAAGCAACTGAACCACCTTTACGGTCACCATCCATGGTGGTCACTACCACACACGTGACCCTCATCACTGCATGCTGGGTCCCTGCTCCCTCAGGGGCCACCACAAAGGCCTGGCCACCCAGAGGTGGACATCCAACCAGAGCTGAAATGGAGGAGGCTGGTGGGGCCAAAAGGTCAGCTGGTCTTACTCCCCCTTCCAACCTGTTATTGGGGCAGCTGCACAGCTTATGCTCCACAACCATGTGGCACCAAGAACTTGAGCTGGTCAGGATGAGAATTCTGAGGCTCTCCAAAGAATATGCTACAAAATGCAACCAAGACCAGTCCATTCAATCACACACTCTTAAGGATAAAGGGAAAAACAATGTGGGTAAACAGAAAACAAGCTGCAAAACCATGAGAAGAGCGGTGAGCCAAAGAAAAGTCTGGACAGACAAGCACGAGAGGGAACAGCAGCTGCACCCTGGCAGGGGGCAGCCTCATTCCATACTGACCTGCAGTGTGGGGAGATCGATGAAGACGTGTCGGTCCAGTCGGCCTGGCCTCATTAGAGCATTATCCAAAATGTCGGCTCGGTTGGTGGATGCCAGGACGATGACATGGTCAGTGGTGCCCATTCCTGAGGAACAGACAGTGGCCTTTATGGTGGGGGTCCCCAATATTGTAGCCTTCCCCATGGGGTTCAAGACAGGACAGGAGATATTTCCTACCAGGGTCCACGAGAGAAGACTACTGACCTAGGACTGATCCTTCCCTGAGAGCTTTCTACCAAGATCACCACAAGGGCAAGAACTGGCTGGTTTTATTTCCCCAGAGACAGAACTGCAGCTGGGAACCTCTGAGTCCACACAACACCCCCGGAGGGAACTGCTAACAGGGTGGGCCCCAGGAGCAAGGACCCTCTTAGCTTCAACACTGCATTTCCTTGAGGCGAAGTGACCACCATGGAGACATCTGGGACATTCTACCTCTAACACTTGGTCTGAGGGCCGGGGTTTTCTGGCCCAGGTTTCTCACATGAGAATTTAAAAGCAAGTCCAGAAACCCCCAATGAATGGCCCAGATCTGCAACTGCAAAAACACATTTAGAAGCAACTGGGGACTCTGTGCCTCACTGGATATTAGATGGCACAGAGAAGTTATTTATTTTGGTTCCCTAGCGGGAACCAAACCCAGGACACTCTGGTCCACAGGCTGACGCTCCAACCGCTGAGCCAAACCAGCCAGGGCAAGAAGTTACTTTTAATTTAAGTTATATGATATTTCTCTGAATGTGTAAGGTCCAGAACTTTGGGTTGGCTTTAAAACAACCCACTGGGGAGAAGAAACAGAGAGGGAGGTGTACATGGACTAGGGCTGGACAAGCACCGATGACTAAAGCTGACCTGGGACATGGGGGCTCACTGCACACTTTTGCTTATGTTGATGTTTGAAAAGTTCCATAATGCAAAGTTTAAAAAATTAAGATGCCATGACCTGCTCTGGACGGTTTGGCTCAGCTGTTAAGAGCATCGGCCCACGGACCAAGAGTTGTGGGCTTGATTCCTTGTCAAGTGCATGTTCCTAAGTTGCAGGTTTGATACCCGGGCTTGGGGGGGGGGGGGTCATGAGGCAACCAATAGATGTGTCTCTCTCACACTGATGTTCTCTCTCTCTCCCTTGCACTCTATCTTAAAAGCAATGGAAAAAAATAACCTCAGGTGAGAATTAAAAAAAAAAGATGCCATGACCTATCTTTTCCTAACTTAAATAAATCTGATAAATTGACATGAACAAATACAATTTTAAACCACCCATAACGTCTTTTAACAAAAGTAAAGTTTTGAAGAAATATTACGGAATTAAACCCTGACAGCATGTCAGGCACTGCCACCTCACAGCATGTTGTCCTTCACTCCACTCCAGGACCCCAGCCAAACACACCAGCTCAGGGAGGGCACCCACCTAACTGAGGGGCTGACACCCGTGTCACTGAAAAGCAGCCACCAGGACAGCCCAAACCACATGCCATTCCCAAGAAAATCACTCCACAACTTCAAAAAAATATCTCACAGAGGTGCGACCTCTCTCATCAGCAGTGTGGAATGGGATAAGCCAGGAGGCCACCATGAGTCCAGGCCCGTTCATGTGCCAAGAGTGGAGAAAGCAGAAAAGTATCCACTTGGTTGATGCAAAGGTGATGTCTTAAAATCACTCTGACTTTTGAAACAAATTCAGAAACAAGAGCAAGCACCACCCAGCACATATGATGCGTCAGCCTCTTTGCTCCAGTTGCTCACACTCCTGTTTTAGGAAAAGCAAGACACTGCCATGGAAATGAGAAGCAACCATTACCTCCCTCACTGCCAAGCTCCTTCCTTTGCCTCTATAACTTGTTTCCTAAGCCCATTTCTCCTACAAACTACTTCTTCTACCTCTGTGATTTTCCAAATAAATGTTCTCTTATATAGTAAAAAAAAAGAAAGAAAGAAATTGAGAAGCAACTGGAGGGAAGCAATCTGGCCAGATGCAGCTTCACTCCCCAGGAGACTCCTCAGTGCCGGGGGGCCCCCATGCCACTCATCCCAGAGTGCTGCTTGGGAAGACCTGTCAGGGTTCACCGCTCAACGTTTCTGAAATGCTGTCTTCCACAGGTCAAGGTTGTAAATACAGAAATCTGAAGTTATACACATAACAAAAAAATATTGAAAAGTAGTAGGAACAGTGGTTGTAGAATAAAAACAACAGCAAGGCAAGGGTGGACACCATGTCAGTGGGCTCCAAGCAGAAAGGGGAGTAGTGACATTCAAAGCTCTGCCATCACAAGTCACCTTGACCTCCCTGTATAATGGACCCCTCACTCCAGGGCCTGGTCATATAAACCACAGGGTGCAGTGCCCCCAGGTTTCCTGTTTGAAACTTTATATTTTGATGGCTCTGGCAGGTAGCTCAGTTGGTTAGAGTGTCATCCCGATATGCCAAGGTTGCAGGTTCCATCACTGGTCAGGGCACATTCAAGAATCAACCAATAAATGCATCAGTGAAACACCAAATCGATGTTTCTCTCTCTCTACTCTCCTTTCTCTCTAAAATAAGTAAATACACACACACACACACACACACACACATTTTTTTTTTAATTCCTCACCCGAGGATATTTTTACATTTTATCTTCAGACGGAGTAGGAGGAAGAGAGAGAGAGAAATATTGACATGAGAGAGATACATTGACTGGTTGCCACCTGCATGACCCCAAATGGGGCCGGGGACTAACCGCAACCGGGGTACATGCCCTTGGCTAGAGTCAAACCCGGGACTCTGGTCTGTAAGCCGATGCTCTAACCACTTAGCAGAACCAGCCAGGGCTAAAATAAATAAATTTTTTTTTAAAAAGAGAAACTTCCCCTGGTCAGTGTGTCTCAGTAGTTAGAGTGTCAGCCCACAGACCGAAGGTTCAAGGGTTTGATTCCCAGTCAAGGGCATGTGCCTAGGTTGCAGGTTCAATCCCTAGTTGAGGTGAGTTTGGGAGGCAGCCAATTGATAAATCTCTCACATCAATGTTTCTCTCTCTCTCTCTGTCTCTCCCCCTGCTTCCCTTTCACTATTTAAAAATCAATGGAAAAAACATCCTTGGGTGATGATTAACAAAACAAACAAACAAAAAAGATACCGTGTGTGTGTGTGTGTATCAGGAATCCTTATTAATTTATAGAAACTTTATATTTTGACATAGTTGTAGATACACAGCAAATTACAAAAATAGTGCAGAGAAGTCCCCCACCCGTTTCCTGGTGGCATGTTAAGTAACTACAGTGCAATGTCAAAACCAGGAAATCCACAATGCACAGTCCACAGGCCTTAATCGACATCAACTGTCTTACATGCACTTGGTTCTCTGCACTTTTATCACTGAAGATTCCTGTAACCTCCACCTCGAACCAGGTAGATGCCACCACCACAAAGACCTCCCTTTATAGTCACATCCCCTCCTCTCCCCTCCCACCTTTCTAACCCCTAGTAACCACTGATCTGTTCTCCACCTCTAGAAGTTTGTCATTTTGACAGTCTCATATAAATTGAATCATATATGTAGCCTTTACAGGTTGGCTTTTTTCATTCAGCATAATCCTCCTGAGATCCATGAAAGTAATTGTATATAAGAACAGTTAGTTTTTCTTAAAAAAAAAAATTTTTTTTTATCCTCACTTGAGGACATTTTTGCATTTATCTTCAGATAGAGGAGGGAGAGAGGGAGGAAGAGAGAGAGAAACATCAACGTGAGAGAGACACATCGACTGGTTGCCACCCACATGACCCCAACCGGGGCTGGGGACAAACTGCAACTGAGGCACATGACCTTAGCGAGAACCAAACCCGGGTCTCTCTGGTCCGCAGGCCGACGCTCTAAATGCTGAGCAAAACCGTCCAGCGTTCTTTAAAAATTTTTTATTATGGATTTTGAAGAGAGGAAGGGGGAGAGAGAGCAAGAAAGAGAGAGAGAAACATCAAAATAAGAGAGAAACATTGATTACTGGCCTCCCATACACGCCCCAACAGGAGATGGACCTGCAACCTAGGTATGTACCCTGACCGGGAACTGAACCCGAACTTTTGGTGTATGAGACAATACTCCAACCGAGCCACCTGGCCAGGGTGAGTTAGTTTCTTTTTACTGTTGCATGGAAACCATGAAAAGGACATACCAGAGTTTATGTACTCACTGAAGGACATCTGGGTTGTTTCCAGTTTTCAGCTATTACAAATAAATGAACAATGCTGCACAGGTGTTTTGTGTAAACATTCCTCTAGGAAGAACACCCAGGAGTGTGTCATAAGGTACCATGTATGTTCAATTTTTTTCAGAAACTGCCTGTTTCCCAGAGAGGCTACACGTTTCGCATTCCCACCAGCAGTGTAGGAGATCCAATTCCTTCACATCCTCACCAGCATCTGCTGTTGCCATAATTTTTTACTCTAGGTATCCTTCTAGGTGAGTGTTCCTATCAAAATCTCAGCAGGACTACTTGGTAGATATGAACAAGCTTATTCTACAAGTTACAGGAAAAGGCAAAGGAAGGAGAAGCACTTCAGCACTGTTGGCCAACACACAGTAGGAGGACTCCTCCGTCTCTGTTGAGGCTCACTGGGCACCTCAGGGAAGAAGGCTGTATGGTGTGGTATGGCACAGACCTGGAGACCAACAAACAGACCAGAGGGCCCAGGAAAGACACTTCCAGATACTCCAGCTGAGTTCCGACGAAGGTGCAAAAGCAATTCAGTGGAGGAAACAGTGTTTTAAACAAACACTGCTGGAACAACCAGACACCCGTAGGCAGAAAAATGAACCGTGACCAAAACTCCCCAACTTATACAAGTATTAATGTAAAATGGATCCTAGATTAAAATGGAAAGGGCCCGCCCTGGCCGGTTTGGCTCAGGGGTTAGAGCGTCTGCCTGCGGTCCAGAGATATCTGGGTTCGGTTCCCATTAGGGGCGCGTACCTCGGTTGCAATTTGTCTCCGGCCCTGGTTGGTCATATGGATGGCAGTCACTCGATGTGTCCCTTTCACGTCGATGTTTCTCTCTCTCTCTCTCTTCCTCTCTCTCCCTCCCACTCTATCTGAACAAAAAATGGAAAAA